TGGGCTTCCTAAACTTATTTTGACGTGACTTTTTCTGTCTTGTTGCTCAAAGCAATAAGTAAATATCACGTAAAACTTCGCCTAATCATTCATGATTTATGCATGCTGCTGTTTACGTAACCTTGATTGATTCCATTTGTATCCCTCCTGGCTTTTGTGTGTTCTTAGAGATGCTCCGGAGTAGGACAAGGGAAAACTAATAAGGAAATTTTAAATGTCAGGGTATCTCAAATCCGGTAAAGGGTCCGCTCCAACAGTGTTTTAAAAAGTATCCCAGGGGCACGCCAGGGGCGGATCTACAAGGGTGGCATAGGGTGGCAGTTGCCACCCTAAAAGAAAGCCTTGCTACCCCTGCTGCCACCCCAGCTGGCAGCTATAAATTCAAGAAAAATCAAAGTTTTTCAATTCTCGGGCTCATGAAGACCTATTTGCAGTCTGCTTTGGCAGAGAAAAGACTATGAAGCTAGGCTGTACATTGAATCAAAATGGGCAAAATCTTTGGATCTTGATGAATGTGTAAATAGTTTTGCTGAGCAACATGGAAACTGCTGCATTCAGCTGTTGTAGGAAGGATATAATTTTATTATGTGTATTATTTTTGTGATGGGCCTTTAAGCTTATTAAATGAGGACCCAAAACAAATGAATATGTAAATACTGGGAAAAGAAAAAGGAAAATGTGTTTCTGAGTGAACAATAGAACCAAAGTACAATATCTCAGTGCAGTGAAATATTATGTGTGTGTGTGTGTGTGTGTGTGTGTGTGTGTGTGTGTGTGTGTGTGTGTGTGTGTGTGTGTGTGTATTGCCACCCTAGAAAAATGTTTGCCCCTCTTCTGCCACCCCATCAATAATTTTGTAGATCCGCCCCTGGGCACGGTATAAGGGTCGGAGATGTTTAGTCTATTTCTTTTCTGAGTAAATAAAACAATATCTTCGGTTTTAAAATGTGAAGTAAACTCCAACTAAGTAAAATCCATGCCGGTCTCGTTTATTTTGTTTACATTGATGCCTGCCAGCATGGCGCCTACGCTCTGAGAATCACGTGACGTCCGGAGCTCTATAGGCGAAGGGTACAGGTTTAGTGTTTTCAAGAAACTCCTGAAGATCCTGCTCTTCAGAGAGCATCTTCTAAACTAGCACCTTCCCTGCACCAGTCCCCCCTCTACAGTCCACTCCTTTGTTCCCTCCTCTCCATGATTGATGTCAAGTTGTTGTTATTGTTGTTGTTAGCCTCAAGGGCAACATGCCGATTATCACTTGTAAGTCGCTTTGGACAAAAGCGTCTGCTAAATACATAAACAAAACATAATACCCTGACCGACCTGACCCTTTCTTCGACTCAATATTATAACTGCTCAAATGACTTCAATCCAAAGTGTGCCTCTGAAAAAATATAAGTCTAATGGAGGTTTTCCACTATTCAGCATGGTTTGACTCTGCTCTATGCGGTTCAGGCGTTTTATTTATTACAACTGGTAAATTGTTTTAGTGGTAGCAAGTAGCAAGAAATTATCATACGTAAGACAAATCTAGCGTGAGGTTATCTGTACAAGACGCATCAATGGAGGACATGGTAGCAATGTAGAACATTCTGCCTTGTCGTGGCTTTTTGCCAGATTCTGAAAAGAAGAGATGCATAAAAGGCTGCGGACATTAAAGTCAAACACACTGGCTTCAGGACAGAGCCACTGGTTGCTCCAGTCAGAGACAGTTGTTGCATTTCCCGCAGTAAAAGGGGCAGCAACCATGAAATGGAAACGGACGAACAGAGTCAAGCTCTACGTACTAGTGGTAACGATTACTGGTGGCTGCCCACATCCTTTTCCTATTATGACTCAGCTTGTGGACCACAACATACATAAAGACTGAACTAAGATTAGGCAATGTATAAAAAGTGTTCAAGTAATATTTGTTAAATAATGCTTGGTGATATGCATTCAACTACAAACAGAGCCACATTTGTTTCCCTCTACTAAAATAATAGAGGGTGGTACTTTGAACTTGTCCAACAATAGATAATGATTTTGCCCCTGCTGAGAGTGGGTAGCCCTTCACCTATTGATTTGGGAAGATCACCCAAAAGTTTGAAGCTAACATTTGGATGCTAACAAGGAATATGAAAGACACATCTCAGGGAAAGTTTGAAAGATGAAACAAGAGTTGTTGTGAACCAACTATTTTATTGGTCTTCTGAATGTAAAAAGGCCATTTTTGTTTGGGTACGGCTCTATTCTGTCAATGATGATGGTTAGAACGGTGCGTTAGAAATCATTTAGAATTTCCGAGTTGTTTGAAAAAAGTGTCGACTGTGTCTAAAGGTATGGTCGAGACCTTGATTGCCGTATATCACTGGAATCACAATCTTAAGTTTTTAAATGATGTGTATGTATATAGAACAAGTGTAGCAAAGAAGATGCTGATTTGATGTGGAATGTCCCATCCACGACACTAATTCATAGGCAAATATATATATATATATATCGTTCATAAAAAAGGATCGGCGAAGGGCTTGGTCAATCACCAACGGTGGAATTATCCATCCAATTGTCCAACCTTAGACTGAACACAAATTTGGAAGTTTGAGTATTTATATTAAAAAACAGCCTTTTGAAGAGGAGTCTGACAAAAACAGACAAAGTAAAATTTTCAACACAGCTATCATGTCGTCCTCATCGCGTTATTTTTCGAAGTAGAGCCGTTTCTCAACTGAAATTGGTTGAGTAATGAAAAGGGACCATTAAGCTCCAAATTCTGCCTCTTTGGTTTTACTTTGCATCAGAAAAAGTCAAGGATCCCCCCCCCCCCCACCCCAAACCCCACACACACACACATATGGAGATGTAAAATACAGGGGCGGGGCTAAAAAGTGAGAGGATGGGGTGAAATGGGATTCAGTCTTTTTAGTCTTAACTAACCCCTCCCCCCACCTCTTAACCTCTGCATCCACAATCACTCTCTTCACCGACAACTACTGCAGCGTTTCCAACAGCATCAAAACATCAGAGCAGACATAATCAGTGTGTTTGCTCTACTGAACTCTGTACCAGCAAAAATAATAACAGAAATATTACTTATAGAAAACAACCAATCAGACAAGAATTTGGACTCCGGCAGGAGATTTAATTAATCAGTGCATGCTTTTATGCTCAGATGTCATCAGCATCAACTCAAATGTGTTCAAAGCCAGAGTGCTAAGTAGGCCACAGCATGGTATGTGACCCACAAGATGGCTCAATGGCCCATTTTTGTTTCCCCGACCATCTGAAACTCTGCCCGTTGAGGTGGAAACTCAGCCCTCGATAAACAGAAGGAAAGGAACTAAAGCCTTTGGTGTCAGTAACAAGGTGAGGCTTAAAGAGAAAAAAACATCTGACACAAAACACCACTTCTAGAACAATAAAACCCGTTCCTGTTAAAGGAAAGGCTGGATAACTGCTCGGAAAAACAAGTTTTGACAACTACAGGGTGAAATTCACAGGAGAGAAACTAGAATCAGCAGGAACATGAGTTAGTATAACTAAACCAAACTCCCACTATAACTAAAAACTCTAATTATGCTTTTTCAAGTGATCTTTCCGCCCTGAATGTGAGCCAACGGCTGAAGAAATACACTCCACAGACACCTCTAGTGAAAACACCATCAAACCCTGGTGGTTACCTCCAGTGCCAACTTGAGATAGAGGACATAATGTGTGTTAAATTGAGCATGAATGAAGTCTTTTGTTAGCAGGGGGGACTTTTGTTACCCTCTCTTAAGCCTCATTTTCAGCTTGTTTCAGCACAACCTGCATAGGAGCGAAAAACGGATTCACCGTCAGCACCACTAAACGATGCAAAATCAGTGTTTTTACGTTTCTGTGTAAAGTTTCAAGAAAAAAAAGCCCAAGTTTGTGTAATAGATGCATAGTTTTCCCAGTTAAACATCTATAATCTCAACAGATATCAGAGCCTGTTACTAAATAAAAGCTGGAGACTTTCCTTCATAAATCAAAAATAGAAACTTTCCTTTAACATCTCACCTGACACAAAGCACACAAAGAATTACGCTGTTAAAATGAGAGCCTTTAAAGGGGATTTTATTGTGAGAATCTACTAAGCCTTAAGTATTAAGTACAACACAGGATACCACTAAAAAGATTAGCCTGCATGCACAGAGAAAAGCACCTTGGTGTGGTTGCATCTACCTTTAAAGGTTAAGGAAACGTCCAGGAAGAGGCGCCCACCTCCCCCAAAAAGTACTTTTTTGGAATTTTCTCCAGTTCTGAATATTTTTACTCATCAACAAACTTTTAAAAGAATGAACAACCAAAGCAGCATCAGTCACAGATCTGTAGGGAACTATTTTCAGCATCGGATTACTTTGTTGATCTCAGCATTTAGGAAAGCAGAAGAAAGGTAGATTTGCTTTAAAACAACTCACAGAGCACATGTTCTTCATAATAACGCTTTAGAGACAAATGCTGATTGTTTGCATTAAATCTCAACACTCCACCCCTAAAATGCTCATTTAAAGCGCTCACATACAGCGATATCTAATTTTGGTTCGGCATTCTCTAATCCAGAACACTAACTCAGACCGTAGAGTTTAAATTGAGATTATAAGGAAGGTAATCCTTTAAATATCAGTGTTTGGCTATTTTTAACTCTCTTACGAGCTTGTTGATCTCCACCTATCGTCTTATCCTTCAATCATCATAATAAATATCCAAATGTCAGAAGGAAGAAACGTCAGAAAAACACCACAACAGTAAAGAAAATCTGAGACAATTTAAAGAGAGCAGAAACCAGTGAACGGGCACCAAACTAGAGGAGCACTCACTCACATCACTCTAAAAGGATTCCTTCAATTTCATCCATGCATGCAACATTCAGTTGCCATGCCAACCTGCAACTAATCTGCTATAGCCGTGCTGGAAATGGAAAACGCTTGCCGGCTGCACTGCAGTAATGATGGTTCCCATGTTGCAGTAATAAAAAATGAGACAAGGCGGCAGCTCACCGAGATGTCAAAAAGCTCCTCCGTGTCGTCCAACATGCGGACCCTGATGGTGACGTGGCGTCCGGAGGGCATGGCTGGAGGCTTGTGCGTTGGGTCCAATGTACTGATGCCAAGAGTCTCGGGGGCTCCGAGACGCTGACCTGCTCCAGGGGAGCTCAACTCTTGGTCTGGCTCGGCCATGGCTGGCTGCGCTGTTCAACACTGAGCCTGCACCGAAATGAAAACACAAAACAGACGTTAAAATGGTTTGGAAGTTGTAATTAATCATTGTAACAGTAACATAGGATTAAAACAGCATGAAGAATGCATTAATGTCCAGAAAACAGGCTGCTCGGCATTCCTCATCACACAGAGTAATTGCAAACTCAGTATTTGCACTCAGTACTAATGGCTGATAATTGTTGCCAGCAGGAGACTCAATTACTGTGAAAAAACCCTAGTATGTTCTTGATTTCAAAGTGCAGGTCAGGCTTAATGTATTTAGACAAATGAATCAGAAGGCTGGAGAGTAAAATCAAAGAGTCGCTTCAGTGCCAATTGACTGGGATACATACGAAAGGGCAAAGACGAACAGTCAGGCTACAAATGGGATTTAATAAAGGTCTCAGAGTTACACAAGTCCAAAAAAAGAGGAAAAATATTTAAATTGAATAATGTTAAAATTAGTTTTTTTACAACCTGTATTTCTTTCTTCCAATCTCATCCTCAAGAGACAAAAAAGAACAACAATTTTTCATAAAAGGTTTGGGAGTCTGAGGAATGATATCCACCAATTACATTTACAGTTACATGTACCTAGGGTCAAACCAATTGTAAGACACCTTGGCTGGCGGGGTCCAGATTTATCCACATCCACATCTTAAGGCCAAATAAGTCACAGCAAAGCGGCAGTGCTGTCCATAGGGATGTACGTTTTTCAAATTTTCTTTAGCCGGTTACTGACGCCCCTTAACGGTTAATAGCCGAATTCCATGCTGTAGTTCTTTTTTTTAAACACGGAGCAGTTTTGTTTACCTGTTTTCCCGCTACGTTTCGTTTGCGGCTGCAAACTTCCTCAGGCTGACGTGTTTAAAAAAAGAACTACAGCATGGAATTAGAGATACGACACAGCAAGAACACACCTAAGATGGTTAATAGCCGGTTAACTGGAAACCAACCCTCCCAGATGCACACAGACATTTTCCCTCGCTCTATAAATAATAATGCTTTTCCCGTCTACTCTTTTGTATATAATTCTGACACACACAACTTAAGTCCTACGCCCGTTACATTTATGAACAAGTAGTAAACAGAGTGTGGGATGACAGCTGAAATGTCCGTCAGACTCAGAAATTGTTGCGCAACGGACCGATTAGCATCAAATACACAGCGCTGCTTGTGATTGCTTGCTTATGAGCGCATTCTGGAGGTCATGGTATTTTTTTTAAAGCACTTTAGTTTACTTACATTGAACTAAACCCCAGGGAGACGCTGTCAGAGGAGCCCCAACCCCCCTCCCGAGAGGCGCAAAGGATTACACCAGGAGCCACAACCAGCAGCCACCAGAGCCCCGGGAGATAGCATGCAGCCGCCCACCCCAGAGCTGGCCGAGCGCAGAACACAGCGGCCTGGGACCCAAGGGCAACCAACCCTGCTGGGGACCCGACAGAGCCCAGGGATCCAGACCCTACCAGGCAGCCCCCGCAATTGTTCTTAAGTCGGTTTGCAGAAAAAGGCCATGAGGTTTCCACATGAAACTTGTCGAATTTCATTGGCTATCTGATGGCCCACCTATAAGCTGCATACATGCAAGGTTTTTCCTGCGTTCAGATTTGCGTGGCAGTTGCCTCCATCTATTTTTGTGCCGCCCCAGCCTGATTTCACTCTGCCCGCAGCTATATGGATGTTATTTTACTGCAGAAGCAGCGTTGTGCCACTATAGGGGCACTGTAACAGCTGTGGTGCACTGAAAAGCGCTACAACCGCTGCAGAAAAAGATCAAAATTGAGCACCTGCCCCTTTTTTCCGAAGTGCCCAAAGTGCCCTTTTTCCGGTCGTTCGTCAGATTTTACCGTACAAAACTGTTATACTGTGATACATATCAGGCACTAGGACCATGCGGAGGCAGCCGCCTCAAACTGAAGCCTATTTTCCCTTAGACCCACCTCCAAGCTCACTGATTGGCTCTGCCGCATCATACTAACGTGTGATTGGTTTTCTCTGCTGTCGCTCTACCTTGCAGCCATGGAGACGACAGACCAGTGTTTTGCCTGCGGGCAGGAGTCTGCGTTCATCTACCTGTAAGTTTTTTTCTGCCTGCTTCAGGTCAGCTAGATGGATTTTAATATCAGAGCTTTTGTTTACGTGCCTTTGAGTCCGTGGTTAGTGTGTGTGGAGCAGTGAGGTAGCTGCATGACTAGGACAGAAAATGGGACATGAGGGAGACTTCTCCTGAAGTGTTGAAGAAACGCACAACAAAGAATCACAGATGTTTCTCACTCTAGATTCTCCGGGTCATAACTTCTGAATTACTAATCGGATAAAAATAATTCAAACAATTTCTAAAAGTACATAAAACGAGTTTTTCAATGATGTAATTCACGTTACTTCAAAAATCGCTATTAGAGGGAAACCAGCTTTGCAGCGTCACAGAAAGAAATGGAGCAAACCGCGACGGGAGAGCAGAGAACCAAAGGGAGGAGATAGTCTGATCATCTCCATCAGCAACTTTTATAAAGTTATGGAAAAGTCACAAATAAAATCCACCTGATTGGTCAGGTGTCCCAGAAGGCTGTTTGTGTAGATGGTGACATGAGGAGGGACAGATTACAGTCACACTGGTTTATTGAATACTCAACTGTTTACTAAATGGAAGATTCAGCTTCATTCCAGCATTATTTAAAGTTAAACTAAGTATTTATTAAGCTGAAAATATATTATCAGTGCAGAATTTTATTAGTTGACTTTTTGTAATGAAATGTTTAGATTTAACCATTTATTTGGCTTATTGATCTTTATAATGCTGGTAGAACTGTAGCTACAGTTGTGATGTAGCCTATGAGTGTTATTTTATGATACCTAGTTTTTATTATCCCGTTCTCTGGATCAGAGCATAGACCTGTGGTCACGAACAGTCATTAAACTAGTAATCACGAGGCCAGGGGTCACACTGTTTTCTGAGTGTTTGCAGTTCTGAGTTTAAATACCGTAGTTCTTTTGAAATAGTTTGCTCAAGCCATTTAGAAGTTCCTGTTTAGTAATAAATGTAAAGAAAATTCAAAACTGTTTTTTTTTTTCATTTAAGCTGCAGTTTTACGGACTTCAATAAACATAAACACTAAATACAAACCAGACACTGAAAGCTGAGGTTGTTCTGGAAAAAGGAGCAGAGTTACAAACATTTTGCACTTTTAAAGCCATAAAACAAAAAACAAAAAATAAACCTGTTATATTTATGGTCATAAGAGGGTTAACCGTGATAAATTTTCCACCTCCCACAAAGAGATGGTAAAAGTGAATGTGAGCATACCGTAAATCCTCTAATACAGGCCCGGGCCTGTATTTGACTCAAGCTCATCAAGCTCCAGGCCTTTATTGGAAGGAGGGCCAGTATTAGACGCAGGCCTCTATTTCTATTTGAGCAAAATGAACTAATGGTTCGCTGGAGTTTTTGACAATTAAAAGTGCGCCCACATTTTCAAAGTTAAACACATTTCTTTTAACAACGGTAGTTTCTGTTTCAGCCCTCTCCCCCCTCCCCCTGCTTCAGCCCTCTCCCCCCTCCCCCTGCGCAGCAGCCGCAAACTCACTGATGCGCCTGCAGCCTCTCGGAGTTCCTGCTGCTCTAAACATTAAAATAATTATTTCATTTTCTGTTCCTCACTTCTGATGACCTTCAGTGGTGTCTGTTTGTTGCAACAGCAGCTACAAAAACTAACTTGTTTTTATTTGACTATTTTTCTGTCCTGTCTGTTTATTATCTTCCTGCATCTCCTCTCAATCCTAAAGAAAAACTGCTGCCTGGGTTCATATATATTCACCTCATGAGTTACCTTTGAACTGCAGTTCTAAAAGATCTACCGACCGCAAAAACAGCGGAGCGCTCGCTGTTTGGCGGCCGTATCAGTGATCAGTGCGTCGGAGGACAAGGTGATGCCCGCAGCGCCCCGCTCCACAGCATGCAGCGAAACGCATCAGGCGCGAATAAAAGACAGAAAACATTAAAGGAAATGAAATGACATGAACGATCGCGTGTTAAATTAGTTTTTGAGGTGGTGACACCTGATTGTTACTGTGGCCGTGCTCAGGAGGCAGATCTACCGACCGCGAAAACAGCGGAGCGCTCCCTGCTTGCCGGCCGCATCAGTGATCTGTGCGTCGGAGGACAAGTTGATGCGCCCCGCTCCACAGCAGCGATACACTTCAGGCGCAAATAAAAGACAGAAAACATTAAAGGAAATGAACCGACATGAACGATCGCGTGTCAGTACCTACGGTCCGGCACAGCGCGTTGCTGATCACAGAGAATGTGATCATACGATAATTCAATAGGGAGCGTGGATTCACAGACGCGGAAGTGATAGCGTCGGTGAAACGCCGGCTGCTCTAGGAAACCCCCGAGCGTTCGAGCGTCAACGAAGTGACACGGAAATGCCGGGCTTTCCAGAAGTAAGTAAGATAACTTACTATGAGCTGATAGTTCGTTGGATTGATTGGTAGGTTGGAAACTCTGATCATGAATCTGAAGAAATGATGACTGAGCTGGAAAGGCGACTTCCGTTTATAGCCGTGGTTTGTGACGTAGGTGCGACGTGGAGGGAATCCCCGCGAGGGGCATGCTGGGAGTCCCTACTTCGCAGATTTTCACCTATCACGGCCAGGTCTGGAACGCATCTACCGCGATAAACGAGGGATTACTGTAGTTCATACACCCCCTACTGCTGCTCTCCAGAGTGTTCTGCAGCATAATCAGCACGTTCTCTTTGAACTTGATAGTGTAATGACCTGGCTGGGGTTGTAAGCCAGGTGCATTCTGGGTATTGTGTTATATGTGTTTCCTATCGTTCTGCTAGTTCCTATGTGCTGATTTGCTTGTTGTGTGAGTGTTATGTAAGCCACAGGGAAGGTGATGTGTGTTCTGTGGAGTGGGTTGAATTAGCATGGTTAACTGACACCGTGACTCTGTGTGGTAGGAGCGTGATAGAGGATCGTGTCTGTAGCGTTACAAA